ATATAAATTAATACAAATAATAACATTTTTAAAATAAATAATGAAAGAACGTGCAGTCCCTGGCACATGGTAGGTCCCAGAGGTTCAGGGGACTCAGGATTGGGCCCAGTGGCCCAGGGCAAGTGGGCACAGCAGGCATTTGGCTAGGTGCTGAGAGCTGAGGGTAGAAATGCTACCCCCACCACACACACCTGGCGGTTCCTGTGTCTGGTGCTCTCTGCTGCTCCCTCCCACCAGCTTCCCTCCTCCCCTGTGAGGACCCCTCCTCCTTTATCAGATTCACTGATGTCTCAGTGTAGGCCAAGTAGGACCACCCGTGTTCATGTTGGGTGTGGGAGCCTGGCTACCTCCTCCCCGACAGCTGGAGGAAGATGCTCAGACTCCACGTGAGGGCCAAGTGCACATAGAAGGTTACAGGAAAGCAGACACACGTCTGTCCTGAGCTCTGCCTGTCCCGGCACATGGCCCATAGTAGGTGCTCAGGAGCCAAGAAACAAAGGCTCAGAGGTCTGAGGAGTGGCTAAAGGCAGGCAGCCAGAGTGCGAGTGGGGCTGAGGCCAGGTGGGAAGCCAGGTTTGGAAAGGTCCTACCCCCAGCACCGTGCTGCCCCTGTGGGTGGGTGAGGCGGTGCCACGTGTTGCTGTTGACTGTCAAGGATGCTCTAGAAGGCGGCACACTTCAGCCTGGGGGGGCTACCCTGGCTCCGGCACCTACATGTGTCTTGAGGTGCAGCCGGGGTCACAGCTGTCTCGCGGGTCTCCAGGGGAGAATGTGAAGGCATTCTTCAGCCGTGTCGCTGCCCTGGCCTTTGAGCAGTCAGTACTGCAGGACCTGGAGAAGAGGAACAGCACCTGGCCCCAGGTCGGCGATGGAGACCTCATCCGTGCGTATGGGCATGGCTGCGTGGGCTGGGGAAAGACGAGACCAAAATCCACATCTTCCACCCTCCTATCACCCAGACCCTGCCATTTCATTAAATTGTTGCCCACTTTGGACCCTCTTCTGTGACTTGTACAGGCCCGTATCCTCCCTGGCTCCACCTTCCAGCTCAGACATCTTCCTGGGCCCTCCCTGTCCTCCATACAGCCTCCTCATGGGCCAAGCTGGACGTGCCAGGCTCTGCAGAAACATCTGGCTCTGGCTCTGCTAGCCTGGGCTTTTGTCCACCATGTTCTACCATCCAGAATATCCTTTGGGTCTCTCATCTTATCTAGGCTTCACACGATAGGCCTGGGAAGTGCCTGTCAGGATAGGGGTGCCCCCTGACCAGCGAGAGTTTCAGGATGCTTGACTGATGCCAACTTATTTTTCTTCTCTTTACAGGAATGGAGGAAAATTCACCTGAGACCCAGGAAAGCAAGAGGCCCTTTAGCCTAGGCTGCTGTTAGCTGGGCTGGCACCAGAGGTCCCCCACTTCCTGCACATGCATGGGCATAGGGCTATGACTATGGAGGGGTAACATGGAGCCTGTCTCCCTCAAGGTGGGGAGGGCCTGTGTACCCAGGTCTTGGCTACTTAGGTTTCACAGGGAGATTATGGACACTAGTGCACCCAGGATTGCCTGCTCAGGGGCCCATACAGCCTGCTAGTGAGGATACTGCAGTGATCTTCTGAAAGGCCAGTCCCACGTGCAGTCATTATCCAACCACCTACGGCCTTGAAAGGCTTCTGGCCTGCAAACTCAGCAGTGGCCCACATCCTTTGCCAAGGTACTGTTTCCCAGCAATCCTGGATGTGGCTTCAGAATCCTTCTCATTACCATGTTCCAGGCAACCAGGATTTGTCAGAACTGACCTGTGAAGGAAAGCCCGAGCTGTCCCACCTGGAAATGTTCTGTTATCAACAGGACATATAGTTGTGAGCGGTAGACCTTGAGGCTTGGTGTCCTTCAGGTTCCCTGGGCAGCCCTGTGTCTCTCAGGGACAATGGGCAAGAAGGTTTCTTGGTCCCCTCCTGACCAGGGGACCCTCTCTAGAATCTCTGAGCTCCCTATAGCCTTGGTTGGAGGGTTATGAAGGGCTGAACAAGTCAGTCGTGCCTCTGACCCGTCTGGAGGATAAATTTTCCTGGCCACGCCGAGATGAAGATCACACGGCCACACTTGGGTGAATCACTGTACACCCCCTTCCCTCGGCACTGCCCTACTGTGACCCCCGCCAGTGTGTACTGTTGCCTCTCCAGGCTTCTCTCCCACTGGCTCGCATATCTCTTAGGACTTGTGTAGTGATGTCCACACACCACTGGAGGACTGGGGACCCTTCAGAGTCTGGCATGTTCCCGACTGCACCATTCCTCTTACACAGCCAGTGCAGGCAGGGGTATCCTCCCCACCCAGCTCTCTGCCCAGAGGCTCTGCCCTCCTCTCTGCCCTCTGCCGCTTGTGTTGCTCCTCTGGGAGGGCTCCCCTGACCCCTCGTCACTGCCCCCTGCCGCTGTGGCCATGAGTCTGTGCCCACTCACACCCACCCTCTTGCCATGGGTAGGTGGGTACATCCAGCGTCCCTGTTTTCTTGGAGATGGTGAGCATTTTGGGGCAGCCTATGCCAGTCAGCACCCTTCTCCTAATGCCTGGCATGCCAGTTGTGCCCCATGAACGTTCACTGAATCATAGCAGTTGCCAAGTATCAGACAAGAACACTGGCATGTTCTGTTCATTATTTCTTTGCTATATTTTTAGCTCATATATATCACTTCTTTGTATAAATTGCATAATTTTAAAGTAATCGTGTGCTCAGTGTAAAAACGAGTACAAAGCATATAAAATACAGATTAGAAGTACCACCTCTGGTTGGTCCCATGCGACACCTAAGCCTGGTTAATAATTGGTACAGTTCTTTCTGGGATGTGTTTACCTGTGTGCAGAGCACTACATTTGTTACCTTATTTCCCCAGAGTGACCTTGTGCTGTGCATGCTGCCTGACAGACTGCCTTCCCCATGGACCACCTGGGCTTACACACAGCCGGCTCATTCCTTCACCAGCCACTCCGCTCTCCTTGACCTAACCGGCCCCATACACAGGTCATTTAGTTTGTGTTCAACAATTAGCTTTTACTGACAGTGCTGCCCTGGCCGTCTTTGTAGTGGTGGTGTACATTCAGGATTCCCACAGGAGGTCCTCCTGGCCTGGTCCATTGTGGGGGAGGGAGCATAGTGGGGTTGCGTTGGGGAGGACCAAGTTTTCGGGGTACAAACAGAATGGAAATGACCAGCCAACATGGGCTGGCTCCCTCCCCTCCCCCCTCACTCCCCAGGATAGCGGTGGGAGAAGGGAATGTGCTGTCCTGCTGTTACCAGCTTCTAGGCTGGACGCCCGGTGTGTCCTGTGCACCTAAACTAATTAAGTGGTAGTTTATTAAATTCTCCTGTTGCTCACTGTGGTGTGCCAGCCAGTTCCTGCAGCCCGTTTGACAGTAATGATCTCTCCAATTTCAATATTCAACTCAGAAGGACGGGAGACTATGGGCATCAGGGAAAAGTAAGGGACTCGATTCCCAGGCAGTTAGCACAGTGTTGCCTTGGTGTATTTGTGCTGCCTCAACTGAGAACCACACACCAGATGAACTATAACAAGTTTCTTTAGCTCATGGTTCTGGCGGCTGAGAAGTCAAAGAAGATGGTATCATCTGGCAAGGGTCTTCATGCCACATCATATAGCAGATGCACCAGAGTGAGGTCAAGAGGGAACTTGAACTCAAATCTTTGTAACAGACCAGTCTTGTGATAAATTACATTAATGCATTCGTGAGTTCGAAACAACTCTTAGTAGGCTACACTTTCCAACATTTGCATTGGGGGTTACGTTTCAACGTGTGTTTTGGACAGGGTCATGCAAACTATATCAAATAGGGATTTGTAGTCCAGTGGCAGAATGCTTGCCTGGCATGTGTGAGGCCCTGGGTTTATCCTCAGCACTGAAGGAAAAACAAAAAACCAAAACAGCAAGCATCATCTCAGAATCACTTTGGTGTAGTTCCTACCCTTTTCCTTTGAAACAAAGACATTCTCTTCAAGCATCTCACCATTCCACAGCAAACTTCGGGGCAGAGAATCTGTGAGTCTCATTCTGCAGGTCCAAGCGAAGCGACCCCTGGCACCAAGGTACAGCAAGTAACCACATCCCAGTGCTTCAGAAGCATCTTTTCCTTCTTCCCTGTCTATCCATTCATCCATCTGTTTGTCTCTGTTCTCCTGGAGACACCTTCCTGTCCCTGTCATACAGATGAGGAAAAACCAAGAGCTGAAAAGACGAGCTAGGTCTGACACCTTCTCCACATTCTTGGTCCCTCCTTTGCCTCTGCCCCACCTCAGCCTGGGATCGTACTCCACGTGGCATTACCCTTGGGGCTCTGTGTCCCTTACACAAGAGGGCCCCAATCAGGTGTTTCCTTCCAGGGCCACCCAAGATTGCCACTAGAACAGGGATTACTATCCTCAGTATTGTAAAATGAAATGAAAAAATAAAATTCTAAAATAAAACGGATGTCCTTGCATTGGCTCAACGACACCTAGTTGTCTTCAGGGTCCACCAGCCAGCCAAGCCTTCCCCAATCACAGCCTGCTCCCTGTTCCCCTTTGGTATCAGGCTGTCCCCCAGCCCTGCAGGCTCCACAGTGACCAGAGAAGGGTTCTCACTCTCACCCTCTTTCAGTCTTGGGTCTGGGGTGCCTGCCTGCTCTGTCCTCCCAGCTCAGCTGTGGGCCTCTGGAGTGAAGGGAAGGCCACTGGGATGGTTCCAACTCACACTTTAGCCTGGGGGATGGGTGAGATCCGCTCCCAGATGAACCTCACTCTTCAGAGTCCCAGGGTGGCTTTACCAGGAGACCTGAGATAACATCGTGTAGGCAACCGAATATAGAGGTGTACTGGTTAAATTCACAAGGTCACCATTCACGAATTCTTCCTCATTGCTGAGTTCTGAGAGCGCCCCGCCCAGCTGGTCTACATTTTTGCATTTATTCCTCCCACAGCCTGCACTGCAGGTGCTACATTTCACAGGTGAGCTGAGGGTCAGGGAAGGCCATGACCGCTGAGCCACACAGGTGCAAGCTGGGCAGTTCTGCCCAACACTCAGAGTTCTGGGCTCCCAGAGACACCTGGCAGACAGACAGACCCAGAAGAGATCACAGCAAGGACAAGGAGCAGCATGCGTGGTGCATGACTATAATCCCAGCACTGCGTGAGGCTGAAGCAGGAGGATTAAAGTCTGAGCCCAGCTAGATGCTAGTGAGTAGGGAGACTCTATCTCAAAAAAACATTTTTTAAGTGTTGAGGATGTAGTGGTTCAGTGTAAAGGGCCTGGGTTCAATTCTCAGTACTGAAAAATAAATAAAAATTTAAAAATAGGGTCGGGGATTTAGGTCAGTGGTGCCACTGCCTGCCTCACGACCCCAAGGTCTTGAGTTTGATCACCGGTACCCAAAACTTTTTTTAAAAATAAAAATAAAAGACTAAGGTGTAGCTCAGTGCAAAGGCCTTGTGTTTGATCCATAGTATCACCAGAGAGTGGGGGCAGGGGGAGAGGAGAACAGAGGTCCAGGGCATAAAAGGGCAGATTTCAGAAGAAACAGTTCTGAGAGGGTCCCTCTTCTGGGTTAGATGTATGGGTAGGCCCCATCCAAGAAGCCCATGGCTTTAAGCAGTACCCTAAGATAGGACCCCTTCTGGCAGCTCCCAGGCTCCTCTGCCATCTGCTGTGGTCTCCCCATATCACCTTCCATATGTCTAGCCTTCCCCTGAGGGAAGTTGACGGGCAGATGGGAAGTGTGACTGTCACACCGCCTCCTTCCAGGCAACACAGATCCTTCCCAGCCTCCTCCCCCTCGTCCAGATGCCTTCCCAGCATTCAGGGCCACCAGCCACCTGTCTGAGCCTATGTCCCAGGCGGATGCAGAGCTTCTGTCCCTGGGGTGCTGTGGGCAAGCCTTTCATTCAGCTTGCTCACCCTTAGTCTTCTAGAACACATGGTGGGCGGACTGGGAGGCAAAGCAGGCCTGAGGCTCCTTCCCCCACATGTGGGGGGCACTCCTGGCCTGAGGGTGCTCTTAGCCTCTTACTCCTGGAAGCTGGAGCCTGCACCATCTCACTGGCTATACCTTTAGAAACAAGATCATTGCATCTCATCTCAGCTCCTCCTCTCCCTGCAAAGGCTGGAAACAGCACTCAGGAGGCTCCACTGGGATCATACTGGCTGTAGGGGCCTCATCAATAAATGATGCTGCAGAAGGTAGGTAGAGTCGCAAATAGAAATTTATAAGCTTCAGGCCCCAGGCTTGGGAGCAGGGACCCACACCCTTGCTCATCCAGAACTGCTCATTTCTCACTGGCAAGGATATCGTACAGATGTTCACGGGGCGGCAGGCCTGGAGAGGTTTGCCCCAGCCGGGCACTGTGCAAGTGGGCAGGACTGGAGAACAGCTATCCGGATGACCTGTTTTCCGACCGTCGCCCGGCCTCCCCGAACTGACAGATGACAGATGATGGATTGGGAGAGGGTTCACACAGTCACATCTGCTTGAAGCATGCTTCCCCCAGCCTCCAGCTTGGACGGTGATGAGGGTATAGACAGGACAGGGAAGGAGCAAGAAAAGGCATCTCTCAGTCAGCCTTAAGTAAGTCTAAGAAGAAAACCTGCCAACTTTGTAATGCTCCATCTGATCATCTGCCTGATGCCACTGGTCAAGAACACTGATTTGGGACATAGGCAGGCTGTGTCTCTCATTTACTGCTGTGTGATGGGGTGATCGCCCCATTTCCTGATCCTCACTGGAATAATGGCTGTGAAGATGGAAAGAAGTTATCTCTGTGGAACTCCAGGCTGAGCATCTGTCCAAGGCTGGGTGCATGGGAACCCTGAAGACTGTGAGACTCTCGGGGCAGGGCCACTGGGCCCACTCACATGGCACCTTTGGATGAATTAGAAAAAAAACACACCTGTGTAGTTCTTCAAAAAGTGAGACATGGAATCGCCATATGGAGCCAGAAATTCCATTCCCAGATATGTCCCCCAAAGAACTGAAAATGGACTCAAACAAGTATACTGTCTTAGTCTAGCCCATTTGGCTACTATAACAAAATACCATAGCCTAGCTGGCTTATAAACAACAAAAGTTTATTTCTTTTCTTTTCTTTTCCTTTGCACTTCTCACCTCTGTAGTATAGAATTAAACCCAGGCCTCATTCAACCAGGAGAAGAGACTTCAGCCCTGTGTGAGGCAAATGTGATAACCACTGCACTATGGAAACCACTAGCCCTACGACTACAAACACCAGCTGTTCATCAGTTACGCTCCAGCTTCTGCCTGTGGTATTGAATGTTCCTGGGTGCTGCAGACCCAACTTCTGTCCACCTGACTCCTCCCTGTGGATGGACCACGGGCTCCGGAAGCCTCCCATGCGCAGCTCTGACTGCCTGTATCAGATGGCGTCCCACCGTTAGCCCCCATGGCTCGTCCTCCCTCATTCCCTACATTAAACCCATCTGCAAGTCCTATGAGCTCTATTTCCAGAATGGTCCTGCAGTCACCTCACTTCCACCACAGTCCTGATCACCAACATCCCCCACCTGGACAACTACCATAGACCTGGACGGCTCACCCTGCTCCCTGCTCTCACCTCCCACCTCTCACCTCCCCAACGCTCCACCCAACAGATTGCAAGTCATTACTGAGTGGTCTAATATGGCAGCCACTGTGGCTATTTCATTCTAAATTCATTAAAGTGAAACTAAAAATTCAATTATTCAGTAGACAAAGCCACATTTTAGGTATTTAGTAATCATACGGGGAAGCTAATGGCTGCTGAATTGTTCATGCAGATTGTAAAATATGCCCATTTTAAGTTCTATCAGACAGTGCAGGCTTAGAATCTTTTAAGAATCTTTTGCATTCAGAATGAAACCTAAACTTCTTACAGGTCTGGAAGGCCCTGCCTCACCTCCGACCTCACCCCCTACTGCCCACACCAGCCTCACGTTCTAACCTGGCTGTCCCTCAAACACACCGACAATGTGAAGTCTCCTTGCTTTGCCTATCTCTTTCCAGCCCACGTGTCACCTGCTCAGGGAAGCCTTCCCCAGACCTCGGCCTCCTCCTGGATTTCCCGAGGACACACACATCTCTGCTCTGGCCCAGCACTGGCTGCTTATCATTTACACACATGTGTGCATCTCTCCTGAGCTTTGCCACACACTCATGCTGAGCACTTAGGGACATAGGAAATAAAACAAATGGACTGAATCTTTGCAGAATTTAGATCTAGCTAATGTCCCCACAGGCCATTTAGGACAGATACCAAATAAAGAGTTACAGGGTGTTAAGTATACCTAAACTCTGTGTATCTCCTCACTCCTTGCTCCTCCTTGGGAGGGGAGGGGTGATTTAAAAAAAAAAAAAGTTCTTCAAGGAAGGAAAGAAAACAAGCAAGCTAGCTAGCTAGGTAGGTCAGCAGAAAGAGACCAGAGGCCCAGTGTGGGAGCTCTTTCAGGGAAGTCCCCTGGATGGAGTGTTTTGGGGTCCAGAAGAGGACCAGTGGGCAAAAGCCACTAGGTGAATGTGTAGCTTGCCCAATAAACCACTTGTTATGGCAAGAGAATGGAGCCTGCACATCCAAACTACACAGCTCAGAGCTTGTGAAATGAATTTGCTTGTGCATAAAATATTAAAAGCCAGGCACTGGCTAAAGCCTTAGATATTCAGCAGAAGTTCAAAGGCAGCCTGAGCAACATAAGATCCTGTCTCAAACTAAATAAATGAATAAATAAGATGGATCTGAGCTGGGGCCCGAGAACCAGAGAACGGGACATCTCATTGATAAACGAAATCCACCCCCACAAAAATACTCCTTTCTATCCCAGGTCTTTAGCGATCATATGGACCCTGATGAGCTCTTAGAAACTAAGAGATCTGGACTGGGGATGTAGCTCAGCAGCACAGGACCTGCTTGGCAAGCGGGAGGTCCTGAGTTCAATTCCAGTACCCAAAACAAACAAACAAATGAAAACGAAGGGACTCAGTCAGCAAGGAAACAAAAGTACTCCATCCTTGGGGGATTCCTTTTGCTGATAGCCAGGGAAGGAGGCCTGAGTTCTCATTTTGCCTGGCCCACTCACTAGGGGACTTGATCAGATTATCTGGAAAGGGCAGCTAAGAGTGATCAGGACCAGGATTCATTTCTTTTGCATACTCAGTGCTAACCAAGGGTTTTACCCATGCTAGGCAAGGGCTCTACCACTGAGTTACATCCCCAGCCCTGGTTGGGATTTATAACACCCACTTTAAAGGAGAGGCTACTTAAGATGAGAACATCGTTCATTATTGCACTGTCGGAATCCCTGCTCTTCTCTGTCCCACCAGCCCCAAAGTCAGGTTACCTCATTGCAGTTTCATCTCCTGCAAAGTGAGCTGTTTACAGAAGTCTGCTGGGAAAGGGAACTTGCCGCACAGATCAAAGCGTCCTGCAGAGGGCGGCAGTGAGCTGCG